GTAACACACTCTCCTTCAGCTGGCCTGAATCGAGTAGTTGGTGGGGGTGGTGGGGGTAGGTGAGTGTGTTAACTCCAAGCCTTTCACTTCTACACACATACGCTGCGCGTGCTTTTACACCAAGCAGCCGCCCTCTCTCCAACCTGTAATAAAGATGTCCTAAGACACTGTGCTGAGGACAAACCCAAATGAACCAAACTCACTGCCATCGAGTCAATGCCAACTCATAGTGAGCCTATAGGGCAGGGTGGAACTGCCCCTGCGGGTTTCTGGGACAGTGACTCGTCTTTCTCCCGAGGAGCTGCTGGTGGTTCCTAGGTCAGCAGCCCAAGGCATAACCACTAGGCAACCTGGGCTCCTTTTGCTGAGGACCAAATACACAGCATTCCTTATCGCGTCCCTACTCTGGGAAGCAGGGGCACCTCTGTGGGGAAGCGGGAGGGATGGTGAGACGCTGGCGGGCTTATGTGGGGCACTGCTTCAGGAAAGCCATTGTGGTTGGTGAAGCCAGGGAAAAGGAGCAGAACCTCCCATGGGACAGAAAGACACAACAGCCACTCGCAGGCGGGGCGCAGACACATGAAAGACCACGCATGGCCCAGGCGCAGGCCCAGGCCGGGGCCCAGGCCCGGCAGGGTGTCCTTCTGTCACAAAGAAGATCCTGAGGCGTGGGAGCCAACGCAACTCGCCAACAACAAAGCTCCTGGCCCCGGGCTGGCTGTGGGCTGGCGGGCAGCACTCCCCCAGCCCAGAAGCTGTGATCCTCTTCCAAGGGGTCCCACCCACTCCTCTCCCTCCCGGGCCCCAGATGTGGAGCTGCCAGCTCGTGGGGGTGGGGTGGGGTGGGGTGGGGTGGGGTGGGGCTAGGCCCTGCTTAAACTTGGACGTGTCCACAGAGCGAGGGGTGAGGGGACAGCTCCATGCCACTTCCTCTTCCCCAGGTGGCTGACCTCAAACACAGAACTCCCTCTTTCATTGGAAGGGTTTGGGGAGAGCCAGGTTGCTCTCCCCTCCACCCCCGTGCGTGGGGGTGGAGGACTGGGGTGGTGAGGGAGATGTTTTGGCTGGATCCAGCTAGAGGCTGAGGGTCTCTCCTCCCCTCGCCCTCCACCCTCCCATTCCCCCACAGACCATGAAGCCACTTAGCATCTGCCAGACAGGAAATCTAGGGAGGCCGGAGGTAGGGGAGGCAGACAGTGGAGTGTTCCCGCACTCGGCCTCCACTTTCTACACCTGGACGGGGTGGGCCCAGCGGCCACACACGGGACACTGCTTTCCCTTTCCTCCAATGAGAAGAGTCACCTCGGGCCGCGGAGGGGAGGCGGGAGGCGGGCTCTGCGCGGATTAGCATAGACTTGGGGCCGCGCCGCTCCCCTCCGCCGGCCCCCTCTGCCGCCGCCAGCCCCCCGCCCCAGCTCCGAGCTGGCGCCCGCCCGAGGGCCGCCCGCTAGCAAGGGGTTAAGAAGGGCGCCCGCCACCGCGCCCTGGGAGGCCGGCCAACACACCCATCCACAGCCATCGACCCGCGAGCCCGCGGGGAGCAACAGACCCAAACCCCCGCGGCGGCCCGCCCACCGGGTGGTCACACTGCCCTGAAGCCCCCAAGGCTCTGCTCTGGGCCCTGAGGGTTTGAATGTTTGAGGTCCCACCAACCCAACTTCACACCGCTGCCTCGGTGGACTAGACCCCTGGGGATCCCTTTAGGCCCAGTTCTTCTAAGGCCATGTTAGCTGGGGCGGCCCCCACCTGTCACGCTGCTGCTAACCCTTCCCATCCACCACTGCAGCCCAGCCAGGTGGCCAGGCTATCCACTCGAGTAGGGGTCTCGTGTCAGCCTCTCAACATCCCCCGGCCCGACAAGGCTGTTCCGCATCCACAGAAGTTCTTGGCAGCTGGGACATCCCAACCCCACACCCCACACACATACACAACCCACACCCCTGGCTCCACATCGGTGGCTGGTCAAAGAAAGCCAGAGGTCTTTCTCGCAGGGAGCTCCCCGTGTTTCGTTTAGTGCAAGCTGGAGAGCTGCCTTCCCATTTGTCCTTATGCGACACCAGCAGGCTCACTCTCTGGACCGCCAAGAGCCCCCTGGACCTGGTCCTGCCATCAAATAGCAGCAGGGACCACAGGCCTCCTGTCTGCACCTCAGCTGCTGGCAGCAGGGAAAGGCGCGCACCCCCACACCCCCACCCCCCCCAACAAGATGTGCCCAGAGAGGCTTAATTCCTAACAGACTGTGAGACCTGAGGCAACACCCTTCGGGTCAAGTGACGGTATCAGGGACACTTACCAGGTCTCCCCCTGCCAAATGTCCTTCTTAGACAACTGTCCCAAGCCCCACCTAGGATGGGATAGCTCGGACTCCCACACCCATGCCCCTGGCTGCTCAGCCACAGGGGATTCCTGACC